TCGGGTGGAAAGAGGGGCGGGCTGACACACTGCACCATTATCTCCCCAATTTCGGATTGCACTGCACTGCAATCACTCGAGTGGCCCGTGATGCACACTGCTTTCCGCTCGGCAGAGTAGTAAGTCAGGACACACACACACACACACACACACACACACACACACACACACACACACACACACACACTCGCGTGTGCAGCGAAGCAATGGGGCAAGCAAGTACACTCCTTGGCAAAGAGGCGGAGTCAATAATACGCCGTCCTTTCGTTCCTCTGCTTCGTCCCCCAGCAGGGGCTTTACGTTTTCCTCGTGTTGGAGTGCACACACACACACACACGAGGACACAGGGCGCCAATTTCCACATGGAGGAGCTTGTACTGAGCAGGCGTGGCGGGGCGTGGCAGGGCGTGGCGGGGCGTGGCGGGGCGTGGCGGGGCGTGGCGGGGCGTGGCGGGCGGGGCAGGGCGTGGCGGGGCGTGGCGGGGCGTGGCAGGGCGTGGCGGGGCGTGGCGCTCTTCAAAGTAGTAGAACAACAGAGACAGGCGCCGCCCATTACGGAACTCTGCCGCTCTTTTTCAAATGCTGGCCGCCTTAACTCTTCCTGATTCCGCCCCCGGGCTGTGCGGGGCGGAGGCAAGGCCGCGCTGCAGACTGATTCCGAGAGTCGTCGCTCTGTCTCCCTCGCACTCATGGGGCGTCCCGCGCAGGTGCGAGAGAGACAGAGCGAGACTCTCGGAATCAGTGTGCTGGGCAACACTCCTGTGGACACGGTCCCGTGAGCATTGGACTTGGCGGGGCAAGGCGGGCAAGGCGCCGCTGGCTTGCCGCCTGGCTTACACGGTCAGCAGTTTGTTCGCCACGGCCAAGTCCGCAGCGCTGCCCGGTCCAGGCCAGCCAGAGGCCAGCCAGCCCTCTCGCGCAGGTGCGGAGAGGGGCCCGCCAGGACCGGCAACGCCATGGCGCTGTGAGAAGTTGCCAGAAGACCTCGCAAAAAGAAGCCCCAAACACACAGGTGCGTGGCAAGCTGGATTTCCTCCTGCCTTCTGTGCGGTTACTCTCGACGCCGTGAAAAATCTTTCAAGAAAATGGCTTATTTTTTGATGATTTCCTAGGTAATGTCCGATAATTTTGTTTGGTCAAGGTTTTGGTCGTTTTGCCTCATTATTTTTTCAACCGTGGGGATGGCGCCAAGCGTCCCTTGCTGTGACGCGGGGCTGGCGGTTCCGAGTCCAAGCGGAACCGCGTCCGCTAGTACACTAGTGAATTGTTCCCTCGGAATTCGGGTCCCGTCGGCGTAGTTGTTGTCGTGGACTGTCACGGTCGGCACGGTGGCCTCGGCGACGTGCTAGAGGGCGTCGCACAGTGGGCCAGAGGACCGGTGGAGGCGGTCAAAACTCTAGACGCGTTTTGAGCTCCAGAGTCGCCAAATGGGACTCGAACCGAACGTGTGACCCCACCAATGGATTGCTCTCCGAACGAGGAATCCATTGGTGGGGTCCGAGTCCTGTTTAGCGACTCTGGAGCTCGAAACTTGCCTAGAGTTTTGGCCGGCGGCGCCGTCTTCTGGCCCACTGTGTGGCGGCCGGCGGCCTCGCGCCCGATCTCGGCTGCCCCGGGGCGAGTTGCCTGCCCCGCCCTGCCGAGCTGACGAGGATAATTAGTTTTCCACCGCCTTGTGGAGGAACCCGACGCCAAGCGGGAGGGCGTCATTGGCGCGGCGGGCAGATTAAGGAAGGCGTCGAGGCCAAACCCGGCCAAACCTGGCCAAACCCCATTTTGGCCCCGCCAACACCGTGCACCACCGTGCCTGCAGTGCCTGGAACCTGGAGCTTGTTCTTGCCATCCTTACGCAGAGCTATCCTGTTGGTTGTAAGCAGTGTTGGTTTTGTTCTTCGAAAAGATATAGGTAAAACAGAAAGGTTTGGACAGGAAAAAAAAACAGTTCGTCCACTTTTCATTCCTTTTAAAGCCCCCAGTCAATAAGACATGAATCAAAGTTCCCTAGTATAGATTTCGAAATTTGGAGCATTTTGAAGAAAAAAAATAGCCGCTGAAAAAAAAGACTAAAAGTATTGCCTTGTTTTTTTTTTCATAGTTCCAACAACACATGTAAGATGAGAAAACATAATTTCCCTCTCTGAAAATATGTGGCGGTGTGCGGCGTGGTAGGGAACGCACTTTCCCGCCGGAATTTCCCGCCCTCCATGAGGGCTCCCCGTTAGTTCGCCCGCAGGCTGCGATCTCGCCACTTTACCAGTCTTCTGTGGGCGGCCGGGGCGGGGCGGGGCGGGGCGGGGCGGGGTGGAGGCACGACAAGCTTTTACCTGGCCGGGGAGAAAAGTTGCAGAGCGTTCCTCCGCCACTGTGCTTCTCGCCCGCGTGCAAAACCAGGGCGTCCCCTGCTTCCCGCCGCGGCCTTCCTCCCTCTCCCCCTCCCCTCCCTGCCTCTCTTCACCTCCCCCTCCCCTCCCCTCCCCCGGCCTCTTTGATCTCGTGGCGGCTAGCAACCGCCACACACCGACGCGGGGCGGCCGCCGCCACCCGAAGGGCGCAACACCCGCTTCCTGGAACGTTGGTTGGGCAGGCGACGAAGCGTGGACAAAATGAGCAATCAACCGACTGGCAAAAAACAAAAGACAAACAACGACAAAAAACAGAGGCGATATTTGAATTTTAATAACAATTTGCTGGCGTGGGAGATTCCGTGAGCGCGGCCGGGCGCATGATGGAGGTGTTCCAGCAGCGGAGGTTGGAGCTGAAATCGACGCGCGGAGCCTCACGTTTTTCCACGCAGCTCTCTCTCTCTCTCTCTCTCTCTCTCTCTCTCTCTCTCTCTCTCTCTCTCTCTCTCTCTCTGACTCGTGGGTGCAATCTGGGGGTGCGAGAGAGACAGACTGACGAAGCAATGTTCGGAGGCCGCATGGTCATTCGATGATCGCACTCCGCCACCTAAAGACTGATTCCGAGTGCCACCTCGGTCCCTCTGTCTCTCTCGCACCTTTAGGGGATGCTCCGTGAGTGCGAGAGAGACAGAGCGACGAAAACGGCTCTCGGAATCAGCCTGCTGTGGCAGACGCGAGCACGTGTTGCGAAGCGGTTTTCCCTCCACGCAAAAAAGAGGCGGACTGACAGTGGCTGCTGAATGATGCACACGGAGAGGCGGTCAAAAGAAAGAGAAAGACAGAGTTGCAACAAGCGCTGCGGGGCGGCGGTCTGCGCGGAGAGCGCCTGCGAAGCTCGGGGTAGGCAGGCCCGCCGCACACGGGCGTGGAGCGTGCTGCCCACGCCGCGGTTCGCAGGCGCTCTCTCGCTCCCACTCCCGCGTTCTGAGAGCCGAGCGGGCCACCGCCGCGAAAAGGCCAGTGCCACTTCGCAAAAATCGCAATTTGAAAAGGAAGAGGAGGAGGAAAAAGCTCAAAGGGCATCCCGGCCTGAGGCCTGTTCGCATAATTCATGTACTGCCACGGTGTTACTTGACTTCGGAATTGCTTCGGTCCGCTGGCCCTTCGCGCGCTTCGAGCCGCGCCACTGTGTGTCTTTGCCCGGGGCGTGCCGACTCGACAGTCATCGAGATTTTGGGTGTCTTCATCCCCCGGCAAACGACCAGGATTACAAAAACATGCACAGGACGACACCAATTGAATTGAGTTATTATGCACAACATTTTTCCTGGAGCCGTTTACACTCCACAAATTAACTTTAAAATTTTTAATTTTGAATGCTTTGCGCGCGGGCCTGCTTCCCGCTCCTCTGCTTGGCTTTCGCCGAAACAACAATCGACTTCTCTTAAATAAACAGTGGTGTTGGATGAGCAAGGCGGCAACACGCCACGCCTCGCCTTGGCTTGGCGTGGGCGGTCCAGGGGCGGTCCAGGGGCGGGCCGAGGGCCGCCTCGCCTGCACGAGGCCGGCAGCTAGGCCCTCCCAGCCTTGCCCTCCTTCATCGCCCAGACCCTTCTTATTTCTCGCCCGAAGCACCCCGCCCCCTTTTTCGTACTCACCCCCTTCCCCTCCCCCGCCTCTCTCTTCCCCTTCCCCTCCTCTCCACCGCTTCCCTCCCCTCCCTCCCCCTTCCCTTCCCCTCCTCTCCCCTCCCCCTTCCCTTCCCCTCCTCTCCCCTCCCCCTTCCCTTCCCCTCCTCTCCCCTCCCCCTTCCCTTCCCCTCCTCTCCCCTCCCCCTTCCCCTCCTCTCCCCTCCCCCTTCCCTTCCCCTCCTCTCCCCTCTGAGACGGAGATGGACACAGGCCGCGGAATATAAACCGGAAACAAGCGGGGCTCTCGGCTGGAAATGGGGCCGTGTGTTTGAGGACGCACTTGGCGACAGCGCCGCCCGGGTTTACTCCCGGGTTTGCCTCGGGTTTGTCCAGGGCTTGTCCCAATCTCGTCCAGCTGCTGTTGGAGCGCGCGGCGACGCAGTCCCTCGAGGTGGAGCGAGTCCGAGGAGGAGCGGCGAGCGACAAGCAGTGCAAAGCTGCGTCACACCACTGGGGAAACTAGCGTAGTATTTACGACCCTCTGCCTTCAACATCAATTCACGCTTGGAATCGAGCGTGACGGGCCAAGCCGCTCAGATCTCCCCTATCTAAATGCATGGGGTAGTTTCTTAAGAATTGTTTATGCAATAAACAATAAACAAATGCAACAAATAACAATTGTTTATGCTTCGATTACACTTAAGTTTTACCAGTGAACTTGCGTCTTCCCTATCTGGCCAACATCCTTCACTTTAACTACGGATTTCAGTGAAATTTATTTTATCCCGCGGAAAGGGACGGAACACATGGTGGTCAGTGAATTTAGTTTTTGTTGCTTCGTTTACTGGACATATGGGACAGGTCAGAGAGGGTCGCTGTGAGGTTTAGCACGTTCAGCAGAAAGAGGGAACGCGTGGGAAACGAAAACAGAGTTTCATTCAGCGACGGCTGTTTTAATTGCGAGTTGGCAAGTGAAGCGTCCAATTTTATTCACGCAACGATTTTTTTTTTCTCTTTGCTGTTCCAGAACGACGGCGTCGTCTCGCAGAGGGAGGAGTCCGGCCGCGGGGAGATAACATCAGCGCGAGGAACACAAAGGCAAATAATGAAGACATTCTGGAGCTAAATTGAGAATGCGGCCATTCAATGGAACTCACTTCAATATTCTGTTTCCAGAATCTGTGAGCCACCATGCCCGTGGGAGGTCGCGTGTCCGGGAAGGTCGGCATCTACTCCAACGTCCGACGGAGTGAGTACACTGGCGACTGGCTTCGTTCAGAGCACACTCATTCCGTTTTCGTCGTTTTCGTCGCTCGTCTCTTTCGCACCCATACGGGACGCCCCTTGGGTGCGAGAGAGACAGAGCGACGAAAACGACTCATGGAATCAGTCTGCAGCGCCACTCGCAAAGTATGCATCTGTGAGATTCTTCAACGAACTCGGTTCAGTACGTCGGGAAGGAGAGTTCACACTCCGATTTTTATAGGTTTCTACCTTCACTGTGCTGTCATAACCAAAGCTTTTTGTTTCTATTATGAAGGGAAAGCTCAGTAGAATCTTGGGAGGGTACGTAAATAGTTTGGAACAAGGGGATTAAATAGCTCCAGCCAAATTTTGTACACTAAACTTCACAAAAAATTCAAAAGTCTCAAAAATTCAATTATTCTCAAAATTCATCAGTTTTTCCCAGAAATTCATCGAAATTCAACTGAAATCCATTGGATTTGTACATAGAAATTCACAATGATTTCCCCTTGTTTTGGAAAGTGAACCCGTGCTTGTCCGCAGGCGGCCACCACAGCGGCATCAACGAGGAGATCATCTGGGTGAGCATCGGCATGGCGGTGACGATCGCGGTGCTCATCACCATCGCGCTGTGCTACATCGCGCGCGAGAAGTGGCGGCGCCGTTGCGAGATCCGGAAGTCAAAATGAGAGTTGCTGGGGCGGTCCAAGAAGTCCGCCCCCAAGGCCGTGGCGACGGTGACCACGCCGTGCGGCGTGGGCACGGCCGAGTGCTACCCGGTGCTGGTCATCCCGCCGCCGGGCGCCAACCCCGCGCCGCCCGGCCAGTGGCCCGGCCCGGGCAACTTCCGGCGTGGCGGCCCCATCGCCATGCCCAACCACGGCGCCGTCGGCGTGCCGAACCACGGCGCCGTCGGCGTGCCGAACCATGGCGTCGTCGGCATGAACCACGGCGCCGGCTCCGCCGCCGCCCACGCCGCGGCCGTGGACGCCGCCACCTGCAACTCCACGACGGCGACCCCGCACCGCACGCCGACCGCCATGCCGACGGCCATGCCCGCCGCCGTGCCGTGCCACAGGACGCCCGTGAGGACCCCGGCCAGGACGGCCGCCAGGACGCCGCCGGCCCGGACACCGCCGGCCCGGACGCCCGTCAGGACGCCCATCCGGACAGTGCACAACAGCGTGGCGGCCTGACAAGAGTGGAGCCCCGTGTACTCGCACGGGAGGTTCTCGCCGCCCTAGGCCGCGGCCCGGCCCACGCAGCGGGCTGATTCCGAGAGTCGTTTTCGTCGCTCTGTCCCTCTCGCACCTACAAGGGACGCCCTTTGAGTGCGAGCGAGACGGAGCGACGAAAACGACTCTCGGAATCAGTCTGCAGGCCACGCCCTGCGACCACACTGCGAGTGCAGATTTATACTAATTTCCAGTGCGGGTCCTATGGGTATGGGCGGCGCGTAGCGGTCTCGCAGGGTCACGCTCTCTCCGTCCTCTGTGACTTTCCGAGTATTCCTCTCCGGAAAATGGTGACTTTCTTATTCCAATCATCGGAAGCAATGAAGCGGGGCCAGAACTATTGCATTGTTCCAAAAGACTAGTCGTACGATGACGTCACTGAGTCTCGGTGGCGCCTGCAGTGCTGTGGACGCAACCGGGCCCAGTCGTCGTGGTGCTACGTAGAAAGTGCATGTGATTTTTAGTGTTACCTAATTGTGTTATAGTTCCTGTCTCGAAACGAGATCCCTCTACTTTGTTATGTGTTGTGTGTATGTGCGCGCGGTGTGTTTGTGAGTGAGAGAGAGCTAGCGTCTGCGGCGATACTCCTCGCAAGAGTTTCACCACCCCTCGCGAATACGCCACGCGTTTCCAGAGCCAGGAGTATTTCACATGCGAAACAGACGGAACGCTCAACTCTAGTCGTCCCTCTTGACTGTTAAAAAAAGAGGATTTCAATTATAATCAAAATGTGCAAGTGTGTTGAGACCCTTCTAGATGTTACACTACCCCAGAACCAATAAGATTTAACGCTATTCTAGAGAAAATTGTTAATGCATTGCAGCATGTTTCTGATTTCCAAATGAAGGATTTATCCTCTGTTAATTACTGTCACGACCGTGGGGACCACGAAAACAATAAAGACATCCCACATCGTCTGTCCTTTTCTTCTCATTCTGCACCCGCTTTTACGTTTCGTCGATACTCCAGGACGAGCACCGACTCTATGACGGCGATACTCCACGACGGCAGCAACATCATCCCCCACTGTGGGGCGTACCTAGCACAGTCCAGCCCAGCCAGCGTCGCTACACCCTCCGTGGGAACTACCCCCTGCGTCGCCCCACTGCAAGGGGTAGCGCCACGGCCAGCTGACTTATTCCGAGAGTCGTGTCCGTCGCTCTGTCTCTCTCGCTCTCATGGGGCCTCTCGTATAGGTGCGAGAGAGACAGAGCGACGAAAACGACTCTCGGAATCAGCCTCCTGTGCCGGCCCGTGGCTAGGGGGTAGCGCCACGGCCTGCGTCACAGTGTTAGTCGCGCGGCTTCTGGAGAAGGTGACCGTGACTCGCCAAAATCCATCCGAACCGATAATTAATGAACCGTTCGCATGGGGGGAAAACCAGAATACCAGTAGCAGCATTGTTCACCTTCGATGTAGACCAGGCCGGCCGCGCGTTGCCATGCCAACTGCAGACTGACTCCGCGCGTCGTCTTCTTCGCTCTGTCTCTCTCGCACTCACGGGGCGCGCCGTATAGGTGCGAGAGAGACAGAGCGACGAAAGCGACTCTCGGCATCGGTCTATGCTGGTCGGTCGGGTTGTGTTGCGTGGGTCGCGGGGGGTCACGCAAAAGCGAGAGCGAGCTGCGGCATTATTCAGCAGTAGTCATGCATAGTCCAGCCAGCCTCTCGGCCGGCTATTTCCAGCTGCCCTATTACCCCCCTCCCCTCCCCCCCCTTTCCCTTTTCCCCTCCGGCCGTCCCCTCTGCCGTCATCGGCACGTCCGCCTCAATGGTCCTGTAGGTGAAGCCATTTCAAATTGATGACAGCACTGTGAAGCTGCGCGGCGGAGCGGAGCGAGGGGGAAAGGGGGAGGGGGGGGAGTAGAGCGCGAAGCTCGCCGCCAGGCGTGTGGTGGACTGTTTTGGTGGGTCCGAGTGAGAGAGGCTGGATTCGGGCCGAGTAGGAGTGAGAGAGGCTGGGTTGGAACCGCGGACCTGTAAGCGCACTGCAAGTCTATTGACAAGTTTCCTCCTTGGCGCTGAAGCTCCGTAAAGCCAAAATTCCGCTTTCTGGGCGTCGCATTGCCCCAGGAGATTGCCAAAATCTGGCACTTCAGCGGCCTGGAGCGCTAAATTCTGGAGACCCAGGGCCAGAGGGCCGAATTTTGGCATGCAGAATGGAGCGCAACCAGAGTGGCATAGCAAACTACCAGCGGATTCGTAGAGTAGGGACCGAGTGCGAGTGAGTGAGGTACAGTGTGCCCGTCCGGCCCGGACCACCGCGTTGCCGCGCGAGGCGAGGCGCGGCCAGACGCGCAGCAAAAGCAGCCAGGAAAGCAGCGCCAGCTTCCATTGCGCCGGAGTGGCCGGATGAAAAAGCCACAGCAATGGCCTTACAAGACAGAGGAAAGATGAAGCGAAAAAAGTTGAAAATGTTCCTACCCAAAAGAAAATTGAGACATTTGAGACGGAAAGAAAACGTATTCTCCCCGCCCTCCATATATTTTTCGAGCTCCTTTCTAATCCACTTTGCTGATCCGCTCGGTGCTGGTCTTTCGCCCTGCACTCCCTCGCTGTCAACTTACTGCCAGCCCCGATCCGGGCGGCAGTGGAGTGGCGAACCGTTTCCACCGCGGTCCAAATTTGCCCGCATTTTACGGTGGGTCGTGACTCTTGTTACGGCAATACCGGCCGGCAATCGGCATTGACCTGCTTCTGTTCCTGCCAGCAGACTGATTCCGAGAGTCGTTTCCGTCGCTCTGCCTCTCTCGCTCTCATGGGGCGTCACGTTGAGGTGCGAGAGAGACAGAGCGACGAGAGCCACTCTCGGAATCGGTCTGCTGGCGCGCCGGCTGACTGGTCCAGGGGGGCCGCTGCCGCTACACCGCTAGTCCGTTAGCGGGTCGCAGTTATTGGCCAACTTTTATTCCCGTGACGTCACACGTGGGCCGCGGCGTGCAGCGCGGCGGACCGCCGCCGCCGTCTCCCTCGCACCCATGCGGGGCGGCGCGCGAGTGCGAGGGAGACGGAGAGCGCCCTTTGAGCGCGGAGTGGATAACGTCTTTGTGCCACGCCGCGTGATTACACTGGCACGCCTCAAACGCCGCACGCCCAGCACACCGCACGCGCCGCTCAAAGCGCTTCATTGGCCGCGGGGAGGCGAGGCAGCCCAGGCGGAGAAGGGAGTCCTCGTTACAGTGTGGCAGCGCAGCGCAGCGCGGCGTGATGCCGGAGAGGTGAGACGGAGAGAGCGATAGCGGGACCGCGAGCGAGAGCAGGAGAGAGACAGCGAGCACACAAAGCACCAATCTCGGGGACCGCACCGCACCGCCTCGGCCGGAGCGAGAGAGGAACAGGAGATTTCTCGGCTTTCCTCATTTTGGGGAGAGTGGAAAAGTGTTTGTCTCACTGTCTCTCTCGCTCTCGTCGGACGTCCCGCACAGGTGCGAGAGAGACAGAGACGACGCCCGGAATCAGTCAGCTGGTGCGTAAGTGCCCCGACTCGCCGGCGGCGCCGCGGCTAACGAGTTCGTGACAGGGTTTTTGTCGTCGTCAGGTCGCCGCGGAGCCACTGCGTTCGGGTGTTGCATTCCGTGATCGCAACAGCTGCTCACGACAGTGGCGCGGTCACGCTAACACGCTTTTCATCACCACTGCACTGCACTGCATCAGACTCGATGCCCGCAGGAGTCATCAGGCACACTCAAAGGAGAGAGAGAGAGAGAGAGGGGGGGGGGATAAAGAAAGGGAGGGGGAAGGGGAGGCGGAAGTGAGCTTCCTTTGTTTCGTGGTGGAATAAAGCGGTTGGATTTGGGAATTGTGCTGGTGACGGGAATAAAAGGGTCCTGCTGCGGTGGTGCTGCGCTGGCCTGCAGACGGGTTCCGAGAGTCGTTTTCGTCGCTGTCTCTCACTCAGGTGCGAGAGAGACAGAGCGACGAAAGCGACTCTCGGAATCAGTCTGCAGTCGGGCAGGCGGAAAGGCAGGCAGAAAGGCAGGCAAAGGCTGCTGCGCGCTGCGCCTCGAGAGCCGCATTCCTCGGCCCTTGCCCGGTCTGCCCCCGGTCTGCCCCCGGTCTGCCCCCGGTCTGCCCCCGGTCTGCCCCGGTCTGCCCCCGGTCTACTCGTCTACCCGCGCGCTGAGGGTGCTCGAGATATCCCCGCGGTATTTCGACAAGCACCGCCGCTGGATTCCAAAGGCGGAGGCCTTTCACCTCGGAAAATAAATAAAATCCAAAGCCGGGCGTAATTGAAGAAAAAAGTCGGAATCCTTTCTCATTAGAGTTAGTTGTCTGGGGGCCCCACCGGGGTGGACACCACGGCCACCAGGGCGGGTCGGGGTCGGAGGGGCCGCGGGGGCCGCGGGGTGGCCGGCCCGCCGTCGGGAGGGTGGCCGTGGCTGCCGTGGCGGGCTGACTGGTGGCCCAGAAGGACTGAGGATGCCCCACGCTGCTGGGGCCCTTGGAAGGTCAGGTGGTCGTTTGGTGGGAGGGGGTGGGGGCGGCGCGTGCGCCCTGCTGGCCTGCGGTGGCCCGCCTGGTGGGGCCCGGTGGGGCGGTGGGGTGGGGGCCCACTGGTGGGGCGTGCCGGCATGCCGTGCGGCGGGGCTCCGAGGGGCGGGGCCCGCAGACCTCGCAGACCTCGCAGAACGCATCCAAGCCTGGCCAAAGGGGCGTCGTCGGCCACCTCGCCCGCCTTGCCTGCACCACGTGGTGTCCGCCGCGTGCCCGCCGTGCCGCGTGCCGCCGTGTCGCGCGCGACCGCGTCGCCGAGTGTGCGTGTGTGCGTGTCCCAGTGCTTGCCCTCCCCCTCCCGCCCCTGATTGGATAATTCGCCTTCGCAGCCGCTGGCGGCACCAGCTTCAAAGCAGCCGGTGAGTGAAGGGAATTCCCCACAGTGCCGCGACCAGCGCGCCGACGGCCGGCCAGTGGCGGATCCAGGGCAGGGCAGCGCTCTTTGCCTACTTACAGTGGCAACGTGTGTGACGTTTTGCCTACCTCCCAGGCGGCTGTCTAGTGGCCAAGGGGTGTCAATTGTCCCTCGCCCTCGCACTGGATCCGGCCGGGCAATGGAAACAAAACGGGGGCAGATCGAGGCCGGGACCCCGTCGACCCCGTCACCGCGCACAAAGGCGGCGAGCACTGCGAGGCACTGCCACCCATCATCGGACGGCCATTTTTCACGCGATTGAGCCGTGCGGGAGAACCATGCGGAGCGGCGTCGCTCTGTCTCCGTCGCGCTCACGCGGCGCTCCGTGCTGGTGCGAGAGAGACAGAGTGACTCTTCGGATTGGCCGCGCAGGGCCATCCGTCAGGCCTCCGGACCTGCAGGCTCAACCAATAACGACAACAACACCGGCGACCTTTTCTCCCCGGCCAGGCCGCCCAGGGCGGCTCGCACCGCCGCCCCCGCGAAGCCCCGCGCGGCGACGCGTCCCGGCCCCTGCAGGCTGATTCCGAGGGTCGCTTTCGTCGCTCTGTCTCTCTCGCACCCACACGGCACGCCCCGTGAGTGCGAGGGAGACAGAGCGACGAAAGCGACTTTCGGAATCGGCCTGCTGATTAAAAATTAAGAGGGAGAATGGTGAAAAATGAAGGGCGCCGGACAAAGGCGCTGATACGGCGCGTCGCCGGGCCTTTGGGACGGACACTCTTCCTTCCCGCGGCCCCGGATTAGGCAGTGTGGGTCCTTCGCTGTCGCGCTGGGAATTAATGATGCGACGCTGTTGTGGCAAACTCGCGCGGCGCGGTCGGTCCCGACGCTGTAAAGCAGAGCGGCCGTCGCGGGTTCGCCCCCCGACGACCGCTTAGGGCGGAAGTCCCCTCTTTCCCTCGTTTTGATTGAAACACTGTCTCGCTACCGAAGTCGCGGCCCGCGGCCGGAAACGGAAAGCCCGCGAGGGAAGGCGCCCCGCGGACTTTGGCGTCGCAAATCAAGAAAGTCGCCGCGAGGGCGACAGGGTTTCGTTTTTCCTGCGGACTGATTCCGAGAGTCGTTTCCGTCTCTCTCGCACCTACGAGACGCCACCCATGAGTGCGAGAGAGACAGAGCGACGAAAACGACTCTCGGAATCAGTCTTTACTGGTCGCCAACAACAAGAGCCTGACGGCTGCTTCCGGCGGGACGGAGCTTATGATTTGGTCCTCGTGGGCGGGGCGGGGCGAGGCGGGGCGGGGCAGGGCGAGGCAGGGCGGGGCGGGGCGGGCTGCCCACCGGAAGTGCTATCGCTGTACGACGACGCAAATGACGACCGCACAAGTTGGCCGGGGACCGGTTCCCTATCTCCCTGCCCTGCTGCCCCCAGGATGGGCCTCACCCTTCCGTTGTTCGCCCCCGCGGCCTCGGCCGCCCCGCCTGCCTCGGCCCGGCAGCGTCTCGGGCGAGCCTAATGCTAACGCACTGTTGTTAGTGTCCCGGTCGAATAACGGCTACCATCTGGCCAGAGGGAGACCTGCACTACTTGCACTGTAAACAGTTTTGTACATGCAGTGAGTTTGGGAATGCGCTGGAATGTGTGAGATTCCCGGCATGTTTGCCCTTTATGTTGACTACTTACAGGTGTTTTTGTCACCTGAATGCGGAACGTGATCAAATTTGGTTCAATGAATGTGAAGAACTGTCCGCCCTCGGAACGTGCACAAATCTTCAATTCATTGGCCGTGTGACCTCGAGGGGGTGAAAGCGCTTCCAGAAATCGTAAACAAACTACCGGTACTCGGTGCCACGCTGTATTACAAGAGCTTTTACATGTGCCAAAATTTGGCTCATTTGACCCAAAATGGTGTATTACGTACACGTGTATTTTCCGTAATACACAGTTTTTGTGTAAAGGATATTACGCAAGTGTTTACCGCCTCGCGTATGACCTCATACGGCAGTGTGGCGCACAAAAAAAATCTGGTGAGTGCCGGTTTTTTGTTTGGCGAGTGAAATTGTCAGGGTCTGTCAGTCACACTGGCGGCCGTAGAAGGAAGCTGGGACTTAATATGCATGAGGGTTAGCGTACCGTGCCGGGCCGTGCCGCGCCGTGCCGTGTCGTGCCTTAGACTACATTAATAGTTTTAACAAGCTGCTCTGCCTGTGACAGCCCGGCGGCCGGGACGGAAAAAAATCGGCGACATTTACAACGACGTCGTGCCCGTCGGGACGGCAGCGCACTGTTAGCCGGGCGATTGAGCGATCGGGACTCTGACGGCTCAATGGGGGGCAGCCCCAGGCGCGGCGGACTGATTCCGAGAGCCGTTCTCGTCGCTCTGTCTCTCTCGCACTCACGGGGCGTCCCGTATGGGTGCGAGAGAGACAGAGCGACGACTCTCGGAATCAGTCGGCAGGCTGGCCTGGCCTGGCGGCCTGGCGGGGGCCGCGCGTAAAGTCTGGCGAAGCGGCGACGAATGGCGCCGCGACACGCCAAGGACAGCGCGGCCTTCTTCGCGGCCCCGGCCTTCCGCAGACTGATCCGCGCTCTGTCTCTCTCGCACTCGTGGCGCGTCACGTGGAGGCGCGAGAGAGACGGAGCGATGAAACCGAACGGCATCAGTCTGCCGCTGCGGAGACTCCTTCGGCGGCCGCCACGCCACCGTCAAAGCCAGCCCGTTGTTGTCGTTCCGCCGGGCGGCGCGCCTAACCCCTTTTTCCGCGCCATTGCTGTCCCGGCTGGATTTCTGCCGAGGGGGCCGTGGACTGCCCGGGGCTGCAGCCTGATTTGTCGCTCTGTCTCTCTCGCACCCCCACGGGGCGCCCCACGAGTGCGACGAAGCGAGCCTTCGGAACTAACCGGCCGGCTGGCCGCAGGAGGAGTCTGCGACTGCGACTCCAAAGAGTCGCTGTCTCTCTCGCACTCGCGGGCCGCACCGTGGGCGCGCTGGAGAGACAGAGCGGCGAAAGCGGGCCTCCGGGAATGGGCCGCAGGACGGCGGCGGAAATAAATAGTACGCGCGAGGACCGGCCTGAATGAAGGGAGTGAACGGGGCGGCGAATGATTCAATGAATGAATGAATGAATGAATGCACGGCGCAATGAATGGCGGCGCCGATGAATGAGGCGGGGGCTGAAGAGCTTGCCGCCCAGGCCGTCTCCGTTTGGAAGTAGTTTTCCTTTCGCGCAATACCTGCCATGCCGTCCCGCCCGGGGGATGAGGGAAACGGGGCTGGGGGTTCGGGGGGCTGCCTCGCGTATCTGGGAACGTAATCAGGCCCGGCAAAGTGTAACACTCAATCAAACGCTTCCATTCCGGGCGGGTTGAGCCGGGCTGGCTGCCTGGCTGGCTGCCTGGCTGGCGGGGCGACCGGGCGGGCCTGGCTGCTTTCGCACCTCCCGAATTTAGACACTGAAAGGGCTTTGTAGGTGGAGACCAGAAAGGCCGCCGGCGTGGCGGGGCGTGGCGGGGCGGGGCGTGGCGTGGCGGGGCGGGGCGGGGCGGGGCGGGGGGCGGGCGGGGCGGGGCGGGGCGGGGCGGGGCGCGGGATTCGAACCCCTCTCCGACGCGTGGAACGCCACACGAACGGAAACAAAACGAAACAAAACGGAGCGAGAGGACGTCCCCGAATTCCCCCGAGGTGTGTCTGAGTGACGGCCCGACCGAAACTGAATTCGTCTCCACGTGTGCTTGAGTGTCTCTCCGAAATGGGCGTGGCCCCGTCCCGTCCAATCAATCCTGGGAATGCTGCTCGCTACGCGCGAAAAGCAGAGGTCATTGCGGGAGTTTTCGCGTTTTTCCAGTGTGGGTTTCGCTTGTCTTGTGCCTCGCGAGCAATGTTGGGAACAATAATTCGCGAGAGCGTCTGCTCTTGATAGAGTGGTTCGCCCAAAGTGTGGAAGGAGGCTGTGGTGCCCTCACCTTGCCTCACATTCACATTGCCCCGCCCCGCCCCGCCCCGCCTTGCGCGTCGTTCTATTGCGAGACGCTGGAGTGGGACCGGCTGCCTCAATCCGGATTCAAGTGCACCTTTCAGCGCGCGCCGACCTCGACGGATGGCGACATAAGCGGGACAAAAATGTCTCCGCCCCCCCCCCAAAAAAAAAGAAAAAGAAAAGAAAATTGCGTGACAGGATTCGAACCAGCACCCTTTCACTCGAAGCTTCCCTTCGGACGTCACACTGGTCACTCATGCTCTCGTTTGCCGTCCGTCCACAGTCAGCGCTCGCCGCGTTCGTTTTGGCGGCCCGTTTTCGCTCGTTCTCGCTCTATTGGTTTGATTTAATGTGACTTTAATATCGGACGTGGGCGGGGCGGGGCGGTGCGAGTGGGCAAAACAAACACACGACGACGACGACACACCAGAACGGCGAGTCTGTCTGTCCGAGCGGCCCCGTCGACACGCCAAAAGCGATGTGCGCGCACTCCGCCACCCAGCGGGCCCGAACGGGCCCAGCGACACACACCACGCGCGTGCACTCGCCGCCCGCGATAAGATAAGGCTGTTGCGTGCAGAGATTCACGCGTGTCATGACGTCACGCGATACCGCGGCGCGGCACGGCAGGACAGGCCGGGGCACGGCACGGCACGGCACGGCACGGCCCACTTACATGATCGACGGGCTGTCGCGGACAGCCATTACCCATCCTCGAACGCAACAATGATAGCAACAACAACGTCACAGCCTGCGCCAAGTACGACGGAACGGCGTGGTCGCCGGTGAACTTCCAACGAATCACCATTATTATAATTATCATCGGCAGAGGATCATTCCCGGTCAAGCCTATTATCGTGCTTGTGCTCTAATATTACCGCTGCGTCGGGGAGTCGGTGGTTCGAGACCCGCCTCCGGGAGAGGCTGCATCAGTGGCCCCGCCGCCCACCACAACAAGTCCATCAGGGTGTTATTGGGGCTGCGCCGGGCTGCGCCGGGCTGCGCGCGTCGCGACGGCCGGCG